GGGAGCTGGGCACAGTCTCAGGCCTTGCCTGGAGCCTCCAGCAGACCAGTCGTGCACCAGTTGGGGACTGGGAGTGTGTGGATGCTCATCCTGGCTCAGAGCCCGGGCTAATAAGCTCTCCTGAGAGAGAGGAGGCATCAGCTCGGGCTCAGAGCTTGATCTAATGCAGGTTGGGCTCAGCTCTGGCAGGGATCCAGCTGGATGACCTTGCTTTGGCTTTCCAAACACCCCTTAGAAGTGCCCTCAGTGAGGGGAAGGATGTGTGGGGGCTGCCTTTGCCCCCTTCAGAGGGCAGTTGGCAGCTGATTCCCAGAAGTAATCTGCTAATGGAGGTCAAATTCCTTCAGCTTTGCTTTGCCATCCAGGGTTTTTCCTTCTGTGAAAGGTCCTTCCAACAGAATTTTGGAGGAGCTGTTGTGCTTGGGGATACTGTTACTGATTTTTATTTTTTTTTTTTGATGTCTGTGGTGGTTCACAGGTGCAAGAGCTGGAGGTGAAGTAGCTGTTCCTTGATTAAAAACAGTTCTTTTCTTGGGTTGGATTCATGAATTATTTAAAATGTATTAATTTAAGAAGTGAGAGGGAAGGAGGGGCAGCCCCACTGTGCTGGCAGAGTCTGATAAATCACTGGGGGGTGAGAGAGAAGAGCCAGGACAGAATCCTACTTTCCTTTTTCTTTTTTCCCAAAGTAGAAATCAGCAATTTCTGAGGCTTCCCAAGCATTTCACCAGGGAATTTCAGTACTTGGGAGTGTCCAAGGCCAGGCTGGACAGGGCTTGGAGCAACCTGGGCTAGTGGGAGGTGTCCCTGCCTATGGCATTGGATGGGCTTTAAGGTCCCTTCCAACCAAAACCATTCCATGATTCTGGGATAAGTACAACCCTTATCTTGATGGGCTTTTAATCCTACAAACTGCAAGATGCAATGCAATGCCTGGGATTTGTGATGAACTAGTGTTTTCCTTCAAACTCGACAAGAGCACAGGGAATTGTGGGGAATTCTGACACTTGCTGAAAACAGGGAGGGTGTTTCTCTGGCTCTCCTGTTTTCCCAAAAGAATTCCTGGTTTTTCATCCTTAACTAGAGCTGCTCAGATGTGCAGTGCTTTATTGTAAAGCCTGTGATGAACCTGCCACCTAATTACAAAGATAAACCTGTCCCTGAACAGATCCTAAAGTAATTCATTTTCTTTTTCCCCTCAACATTTCCTTTGTTCTTTCCCCAACTAACTTAGGCACAGGCTGCAATGCCTTTGTGCCCGGTGGAAATTTGTTTAATATCCAGTTTAAACTTGGTTGTGAGAAGAAAAGAGTTGAATATTTCTGCAAAGGAGGGTGGGAGGTGAGGAAACTCAGCATTTACTCTGCTTCTTTCCAGCTACTACAGAGCAAACGAGGTGCAGCAATTCACACACTCCAGACCAGTCAGGAAAGGAGAGAAAGATCCAGACAACGAGTTTGCTGTGAGTCCTTTGCCTTTTGTTTGTTTTCTTGGGGGCATTTTGACCAAAACTGTCACAATGATGGGGTAGGTTTGGTATTAAAAGGTAGGAGGAAAAAAAGGGGCTGCCCTTGGCACTGCAGTCTTTGCCAGGGTGTTGGTGCCAAGGGGCTCCAGAGCTGGAGTTTTAACATTCAGAATCCATCAGAATCCATCAATATTGAGGTGTGCAGCCCCAGCTTCCCCCAGAGCACAGCAAGGGGCTCCCTCCCACTTAGTGCAGGTGAGAATGGTTGGGGAAGGCCCTGCCAAGCCTGTTCTGGGAGCCTCACCCTCCCCGGGGGGAGAATTGAATTGCAAGCCCAATATTTTCCTTACACCTTGGCATTTTTTTTCCTTCTCTTGACCAGACCATGTGGATAGAAAGGACAACCTACACCACAGCTTATTCATTCCCAGGCATCCTCAAGTGGTTTGAGGTCAAGCAGGTCACCACGGTGAGTTCTGTG